TTCTCCTGCAAACTGGTTACTAAATTATTATTTCTCAATAGACGGGGGTGTGTGATAGACTTACCTTCACGTGGTGCACCCTGGGGAACGTATACTCATACGGCAAACAAGTCTATAAACAGTCGGTTGACTTCTGACCCCACTGTATGTCATATTCAACTACTTCCACAGTACCCACATCATATTTTTTCTAAATTTTCTACCTTCGTCTTTGAAACACTCTTCTGTTCCCCCTCCCCCCTCTCGACTTTTTTTCACTCTGATGTTCCTTCACCTCTGTGAAGCCTGAAGTCAACTAAAAGGACTAATGATAACCATCAAAACGCCTGCCATTTGATATAAATAAATAAATTTCTCAATAGACACGCCCTTAAACTTAAAAAGAAAATCGTCGCTTTGTATTCGGCTTAGGTAACGAGGAAAGTAGTCAAAAGTCGCTCTTATGAGAAATTTCGAATTTTATTATCCCCCCTTTTGACCAGAACTAACCAATCGGATCGACCATTCATATCGTTGATGAGGGCTGATTTTGAGGCCACTGATTCGTCAAAAGTGCATGTAGGTCAACTGATGCCAATAGTAGGATGTTAATTCAACTTCTCTGTTAATTTGAATTTTTACTCTTTTCTGACCTATTTATTAATTTACTCCTCTTTAAGCTAAAGCCCCTATTTCCAGATGGTTTGTTGCTGTCTAGATTTAAACGTAAGGTTCAAAAAATAAGACATGGCGTTTATGACTCATGGTGACTTCAAATAGGACAATTATGAAGAAAACTCAAATTGGTTTTTTTTAATAAGGTCGATAGGTTAAATAAGTCTAAGTTCAATATCTTCTCAGTGAAGATAAACAACGCATTATGGATGAGCAAGAACAACAGTAGATGGAAGATGATCACAAAAAGAGCACGAATCATAATCGCCAACTTTTTCAACATAACGAAATGTACTAAGCACTTTCCCATTCTTCACATTCCAAAATACCTCTTCCCAAACATCCTAGGAGAGATAGTGCCAGTACAACCGCAGTTAAATAATTCGAGACAGGAAAGATGGAGGCGATTAGGAACTTACAAGTACAGTCGTTATTCTCATACCTCTTGTTGCTACCAGAGTAGCTATTAGCTCTATACATATCACGATGTTGCGCATATATTACAGGATCTGATGTAGGCGTTGTATGAGTGGCCAGTTCAGGATTGGATGAAGACCGAAGTCGCACAATGGAGGAGTCCTCAATATGGCGACGCAGAGAGGGCATGTGCTGTAAGAAACGTCCAGCAGACGTGAACCAACTAGCAATGTGAGATCGAATGTTTTGGGGTTCCAAAATGCCTCCACCGCTACCGGAGACGTCAGTAAGCCAGAGTTTGTTGGTATTGCGACGGCGACGTTGCCACATGTCATGCTCCTCCACATATCGACCGATGGGAAGTTTCTCTCCAGCACCGTACTTTAGCCGTAATCGGGCAGCCAGTGTGTCCAAACTCGGGGCAAAGGTGTTCAGTGTGACATTCAAGAGAATTCTATGTAAAACAATTCATTAGGTTTGCAAATAAATAGACGGAGGTATAACACAATTGTGAACGAAACGAATTTTTTTACAGTCCCGTAGTTGGATGATTGGTAACTACTAGTTTCATGTCACACCAACCCTCCTTCCAAAATAACCCAAATTCCCAAAACCTCATAATAACACGTTAGTGACTTAAAGGCGGGGTGTGCCATAGACTTACCTCCCTATGGTGCACTCTGGACAACGTATATTCATACGGCCAAAGAGTCTATTAACTGGCAGTTGACTTCAAACTACCATGACCCCACTGTATGTCATATTCGACTACTTTCACAGTACTCATCCCACCTTTTTTTCCACCTTATCTACCTTCGTCTTCGATACACTCTTCTGTTCCCCCCTCCCCCTCTTGAATTTTTTACACTTTGATGTTCCTTCCCCTCTGTGAAGACTGAAGTCAACTAAAGGGCTAATGAAAACAATCAAAACGCCTGCCATTTGATATAATAATAATAATAATGACTTAAAGGCAAGATTTAAGTCAAAATCATGCAGGGTAACGGGCCTGCGATTTGGAACNAACTTATAGAAAATGAGTATAAGAATCGCGCAAGATGAATTTGAGCAGATATGAGGCAAATAGTCACCTGTTTTCACCATGTACAAGACTTTTATATCTTAGCCCTATTTCACATCTCTCATACTTTATAGACTTACACACCTTTGCTACCTTTAAAATGTGCCTTGACCCTTTAACGCCCTAACAATTTTTTTTTCGAAAAACGCACCCAACCGTCTCACAACGGACTGATGCCGCCGACGTGATGAGTTTTAGTGGTATCAGGTGAAGGCTATAGACACGTGTCGAGCATGTTTGAAACGGTAATAGCGCATTCTGCTACGAGTCTAGCACCAATGGAGCTTATTTTGAAAGAGCAAGGTACGATCCTGCAGGGCGTTAAAGAGTAAATATAGATCTAATAATGACAGGCTTATTACATAATCACGACTTAATGGCACATGTGAGAATAAAGGTAGTCACAAATTGGATAAAGAATTTAACTGATCATTTACTACTGAAATCTCGAAACCGTGATATCTGATATGACATCTTTTATGATTGCCTTAGACACGCACCAGAAATGCTAAGTCCACAGAATGTCTGACAGCCGTGATCAGTAAACCAGGAAGAGCATGAGCCACCGCATCAGGTGGGAATCGTAGGGCGGGTCCAGGAGATAGCATCCAACCAATTCGAGCAGCAAGACTTGTCTCTCTAAAGAGACATCCCACAGGATCAGTAGCCATCACATCGGCGTGGTCTGAATTAGCATCAGGGTCTCCCTCATCCGACGTTGAAGGAGCTGGCACCTTGAGACAAAATTTGTGAGGACGGCGGGAGATCTCCGATGGAGTGAGATTAATACCTCCCCGTTTGACTTCAGTTGACCAATCGAAAGCTTCATCCAAGAGGGCCTATAACAGGATAATGAGGAAACAGTGAAGCAAAACTCTCGTTAACGTTATGCACAGGAATGGCATTTCCTTGATCATTCAAATCTCCAACATTAGATATACACTTTTGGAAGTATTGGCTGCAAAGAGAAGAAAGTATACCGAAGTTTTGCCTTTCTTACCTTTTTCATCTTGATCACTCCTTATTAGAGTGCATAAATAATTATATTTTCACCAAGGTGTGCGATAGACTTACCTCCATGTGGTGCACCCTGAGCAACGTATACTCATGCGGCAAAAAAGTCTATAAACCGGCAGTTAACTTCTGAGTTAAAGCTATCATGACCCCACTGTATGTCATATTCGACTACTTTCACAGTACTCACCTCACCTTGTCTCTACCTTTATGTCTGTCTCTTCAGCATAGTCTTTGAAACCCTCTTCTGTTCCCCCCCCCCCTCTCAACATNCTTCCAAAATAACCCAAATTCCCAAAACCTCATAATAACACGTTAGTGACTTAAAGGCGGGGTGTGCCATAGACTTACCTCCCTATGGTGCACTCTGGACAACGTATATTCATACGGCCAAAGAGTCTATTAACTGGCAGTTGACTTCAAACTACCATGACCCCACTGTATGTCATATTCGACTACTTTCACAGTACTCATCCCACCTTTTTTTCCACCTTATCTACCTTCGTCTTCGATACACTCTTCTGTTCCCCCCTCCCCCTCTTGAATTTTTTACACTTTGATGTTCCTTCCCCTCTGTGAAGACTGAAGTCAACTAAAGGGCTAATGAAAACAATCAAAACGCCTGCCATTTGATATAATAATAATAATAATGACTTAAAGGCAAGATTTAAGTCAAAATCATGCAGGGTAACGGGCCTGCGATTTGGAACATTTTAACAAATACGCAGGTTTTAATAATAAATTTTTAACTTTGTTTTTGAAATAAAGTATTCATGTTTCTCAAACAGAATCAAAATTCAAAGTGTATAATTCCAGTTTTGAGTCTAAAAAGCTCAACTTTCAACTTTAAAAATATGATTTATTTAAGTACGGATTATTTAGCAGGTAAGATAGCCTTTTGAAGGTTACGTTCTTCATAAAATTACATAACCCTTCAATTATTACAAAAAAGCACTATATATGAAAATACCTCCACTTTGAAAGAGGACTTCTGTCGATCACAAAAGCAATTACTCACCTCGGAAGAAGAGCCAGTGTACTGGTGACGAACATGCAAAGCCAGAATCTGACATCTCCCATGAGGACAAAGATGATAAAGTAGGGTGGATTAGGGGATAACTTGGTTATTCCAATAGCGTTGTAGACCATTGTGGAACCGAGGTAGACTATAAGGTAGCTTCCAATGTACACAATCGCGTGAATAAAGGTCTACAAGTGTGAGATAGGAAACAAGCGTTCTGATGAAAGCGCCTGCATTAGTTAGCTTAAAGAAAAAGAATCAGCAACTGGTTTAGGAAACCCAACCATTTCCCTTTATTGTCAAATCAACCATCTCGTTGGGTTAGCTTAATCATTTGGAAAGGGAATAAAAATTTCCCATACATTCCGATGCACTAGATTATTTAGCTGCCATACACAAACATGGCTCCATAAAAGCAATACTAACACTATCATCATTGTGGGCATTGACACACCAGGAGGCAAATCATCTACCAATTATAAATCGGCAAATTTTTTCTTAATGAAGAGAACGTAATTTGCAATAAAAGTCACTTTTTCTTCTTGAGGTCTGATCACCTATAGCCTAATATAATACCTATCATCTCATTTTTTTGTTGATCACGATTCCTCCTGTTCAACGTATCAGCTATGGAACAAGATCATCCTTTAAATAAAGGCATTCAACGGCAACAAATTAAAAAGGGTCGTCTACCAGATACTCAAGTCACGTTCATCCCTTTTTAAGGACACTCTCACCAAATTTCCAGACAAACTTACAAAGTACTTGGTCTCCAATGCAACATGGAGGAGAGAAGTGAAGACGAGGGCATTCATGCATATTGTTCCCAGCTCGTTTATGCCAATATCGAGACCATTGAAGGCAATGTAAGGTATATAGAAAATCACAAGAGACTGCCAGATGGCGTCGAACGTGTTTATCCAAAAGTGCCACGATTTATAAGTCTGGAAATAATCGGAGGAAAAGTTGAATTTACGTAAAAATTAAGTCATGCAGCGGTGAGTATTTCTTGCAAACAAATTAATACCTAATTACCATGCTTTCCCAATTACCGTCAATGACAAATTGCTACTGCATCAAGTTAAATGACGGAATCGTGAAACATGATTTTCCATTTCACGCAAAGTGCATGATATCTAGGGGACCCTAAATGAGAAGCTAGAGGCAGATTCATCATCACAAACGCAAAGAATGTTTACGCCGACTGTTAGTCTAATCTAAGCGAAGAGAGCCCAATTTGAAATAATTTATTTATTTATTTATTTCAAATGGCAGGCGTTTTGATAACTATCATTAGCCATTTAGCTGACTTCGGGCTTCCCAGAGGGAAGGTTCATCAAAGTAGCAGAAAGTCGAGGGGTGGGGAACAGAAGAGCGATCCGCAGATGTAAAAGAGATAGACAGACACAAAGGTAGAGAAAAAGTAAAGGTGAGTACCGTGGAAGGGATCGAATACGACTTGCGGTAGGCCATGAGAGTTTGAAGTCAGGAGTCAACTGCCGGTTTATAGACTTTTTTGCCGCATGAGTATACGTTGCCCAGGGTACACC